GGGAGGAAGCAACTTACCCTCCCTCTTCTCCTGCCTCCTCCCGGCTGAATGAGGGCTGGAAGCGGGGCGGCCGGAAGCGGGGGGCGGGACTTCGTCATGTGCCCCGCCCCCCGTACCTCACCCGGGGGGACTGCGATCCCCCGCGATCCCCCCCCCAATGACCTCTGGAAATCGTTAAGAAGTGATGCGTAGACCAGGAAGGGGTATGGGTAGAGGATGGATAGATGTGTGGGGGAGACCAGGGTTCCCCTAGCTCTATGAGAGGGGACGTGTGAGAGGAACGGAAGTGAAAGGGATTGTCCCTCGGTTGGCAGCTAATAAGAACGTAAGAAGAGACGCGCTGGATCAGATCGAGGAACCGTCCTGTCCAGCATCCTGTTTCCCATCGTAGCCAACCAGATTCCTCTGAAAGGCCTATAATGGGGGTCCCCAACGTCGTGCCCGTCGTGCAACAGGGCACCGTTCACTTTCCCCAGTGCCCTCCAGATACTTTTAGAAAATGGGCAGATCTTTTGCTCAGCAGGGCTTCGCATCGGCTGTGCAGAGTAATAGGTGTCCTGTTAAACGGAGCTTCTGCCAGAAACGTTGGAGAGATATTCTACTACTCCCTGATATTCTTCTAATAATCCTACTGTGGTTAGTAACAATCCTACTAACCTATGGTTGAAGGGATAGGTAATAATAAAAGTAAAGTTTCCTCTAACCTACCTCCCAGGGTTATTGCACATGATAAACTGGAGGGAGGGGGGAGGCCAAGGAGATCCGCCCCCGTCCTCACCTCCTCTGCCTTCTCCTCCTGCAGACTTCCAGAACTACCTGCGCACGCAGACGGGGAACACGACCACCATCAACATTATCATCTGCACCGTCGATTACCTCCTGCGGCTCCAGGTGAGGGCGCTTGCATCCGCTGCAGGCTTGGCAAAAGGTGTCTCTGTGCCTCCTGGGAGGCTTGCCTCATGGCCAGGAACATCCTTTACTGGCTTGGCCGCAATTCCATCCACACGACTCTTTGCGATCCTGTGTCCTTAAAGTCTGTTTGTTTTTTAATATAGAGGTAAAGGTTTCCCTTGCTCGAAAGCCAGTCGAATCCGACTCTAGGGGGCGGTGCTCATCTCTGTTTCCAAGCCAGAGAGCCAGCGCTGTCTGAAGACTTCTCCGTGGTCATGTGGCCGGCATGACTAAACGCTGAGGCGTATGGAACGCTGTTACCTTCCCACCGAAGCGATACCTATTTATATAGCCTGGCTCTTTTTGCAAGGGAAAGACACTCTGCACATGCTCATAGACTCTTTGACTTCCTTCCTTCCTTCCTTCCTTCCTTCCTTCCTTCCTTCCTTCCTTCCCTTAATAAAATAGTTCCTTCTGGTGATTACTTTTCTGCTTCTGCTCAAGAGCGTTCCTGCCAGATTTTTTTTTTCTCATCGAAAGCAGCCAGAGAGTAGTTTTATCTACAACGGCTGACTTAAGACATCGCAAATAAACCGCAATTTGCCCTCCCTTCCTCTCTCTTCCTTCCCGTTATGCACTGCAGCAAAATCGAAGGCTTCCTGGTTTAGGAAGTCTCCAGTTTAACTCCAGTTTGTTGGGCTGATCCTGCGCTGAGCAGAAGATTGGACTAGATGGCCTGTATGGCCCCTTTCCAACTCTGTGATTCTGTGACTGTCTGAATTCGTGCAAATGGGGGATTAGTTTTTTGCCTACAAGACTGAGCCACGGGCTGGGATCCTGGTTTCTGGGAAAGAGCCCCCCCCCCCCAAGCTTGTTAAAGCCTTTGTATTCAGACATGAGGAGCTGCGGTGGCTCAAGTGCTTAAGACGCTGAACTGCAGGCTGTGGAAGGTCAGTAGTTCAGCAGTTCGAGACCCGAGTGTGCCCCATGACGGAGTGAGCTCCCGTCTCTAGTTCCAGCTCCTGCCAACCTAGCCGTTCGAAAGCAAGAAATTGCAAGTAGATAAATAGGTACCACTTTGGTGGGAAGGAAACAGCATTCCGTGCGCCTCGGCATTTAGTCACGCCGGCCACATGACCACGGAAACATCTTCAGACAGCGCCGGCTCTTCGGCTTTGAAACGGAGATGAGCACCGCAACCCTAGAGTCGGACTAGACTGGCTTTCGTGCAAGGGAACCTTTACCTTTACCTTTCCCGTTTTCTCAGTGGCACAGCTCATAGCTGCCTTGCTTCTCTAGGCTTTGGGTCAAACCCTGCACCAGAGAGAGTCCAGTCCTGTACAGTGCACAGTTCCTAAGGGGGAGGGACCAAACCTGCCCATAGATCTTCACTCTCCGTACAAGATTGCCGTCGTCGTATTCTGGCACGGCCGAGAGAGATCTTCCTCAGGCCCTAATCTGGGTGGGTAGTGGGGCAGATAAGACTGGCTACCATTTTAACCTCTCATCGCCTTCGTCCTCCTCCTCCCCATTTTCCTAGGAGTCTATCAGCGATTTCTACTGGTATTACTCGGGCAAGGACATCATTGACGAGCAGGGCAAGCGCAACTTCTCCAAAGCCATGGCGGTGGCCAAGCAAGTCTTCAACAGCCTTACCGAGTACATCCAGGTAGGGCCAGGGAGCGCCAACCTCCCCATGTGGAAAGAGGTCCTGCGGCCCGAATGATGCTGCTGTATCTCAGCCTCCTCCTCCTCTGAATACCTGATTTAGGTGGAAATCCACCCAGAGTTAGGCCTGAGGCTGGCAGAAGGGTTAGAAGGATCCATCCAAGCATTGCTGTTGAGGGCATGATGGTGGAGAAACGTGTAGGGGGAGAGGAAGGAGGTGGGCTCGGGCAGGCAAGAGTCAGGCATAGAGATGTGAAGGCCCGGAAAAAAACCGGGAAAATTGGGGGGGGGGGGGAACTGTTTTTTTCCTGAAGCCTTTTTTGTTTTTTCCCGAAAAATTGAGAGAGGAAAAAGAAAAGAGAAGAAATTGATTATGGAACGTTTTATTTTAGCGTGATGAATAAAATATTTTAAGACAAGGTGTTCAAATATTTTCCAAATCATTTCTAAAAAAATATGTGTGGTATCAGATTTATCTAATTTCTGTGCACTGAGGACAAGCAAGTCCTAGGTTACAAACTGAACTCTCCAGTGCAAGAACAAGATGCATTTCTTCTTTTGGGAGGTGCCATTGTCACAAGAAAAGAAAAAGGTTTCAGTTTTGTTTTTGTATGGGGGTGGGTATTCTGTTTGTAATGATTGTTTGGATACACTATATTCTTAATAGGCTAGTGTTGATAATTTCATGCCAAGTAAAAATGTCCATAGTCACATATTATGTTCCTAAAGTAACAGAATGACTTTCAATGCGCGCGCACGCCGCATGCACGTCACCCAGATGTGACGTGATGATGCCGGGCATGCTGGGGGTGGGGCCACAGCCATTTGAGGGGGAAACTATGTTTTCCCCTCAAATGGCTGTGGCCCCGCCCCCCAGCATGCGACGTCACATCCAGGTGATGTAGGTGCGGCGCGCGAGAAGCGCACGCGCGCACCGGGAAATAGCCTGGGGTCCCCTGCCAAGGAGGTAAGAGACATTTGGCAACCCGGGGGGGGGGGGAGAAGTGCTAATGTAGCATTTTTTCAATTTTTCTGAAAATTTCCATTTTTTTCCAGGGGGGAAATGGAAAAAAAAAACAGGTTTTTTTCCGAGCTTCAAAATTTCAGGAAATTTTACATCTCTAGTCAGGCGGCAACCAAGAGTCTCCTTCTATTCTCATAGCCCCCTTATCTCCATCCAGCCCACTATCCCCCTGGTCCCAAGGTCCTGAGCCAAAAATTTCCCCAGGCCTTTTCCACTTGGTTTGCTCTTTCAGCCCTCTGCCTTCCCCTTCCATTTCTTGTTCCCGAGTCTATTGTGTCCCCTGTCTCCAGACCCCCTTTCTACTTTAGGGCCATCTCTGCATGTATAAAATGTAAATTGCAGGCTGGTGTGCCCCCCAAGTTGGCCTCAAGGCTGTGGGGTTCAGCCTTTTGACCTACGCTTGGTTTTCACCAAACGAAACCAGCTTCTCCCCCGCCCCCCTCTCGGTCCCCCTTCTACTGTTAGCATTTGAAAGGAAAAATGGTTTGTCCTTCAAAAACGTGTATTCCCCCCCCACACACCTCTAAAGTACCGATAACAAAACGGGGAGACCAAATTAAATTAGCAAAATCAAGTGGAGGGCGAAGGGTTAAAACCCTCTCCTCTCTCTGCATGGCCCCGAGGCAAATGGAGGCGGCACAGACCTGCAATGTGTGTTTCAGAAACGGACAGAGATGCTGCCGATATTTTTCCTGATTTCCAGCCCCACTTGGCTTCTTCACTCTCAGCCTCTTGACCTCTGCCCCCTGCCCCTTCCCACCAACTACATGTCCCCTCCTGCCCTATCTTGCAGCACAGTGGTAGGTCTACTGTAGGTAACTATGATGGATCTGTCTCCCATTGCTTTTCCTTCTCCAGGGTCCGTGCACAGGGAACCAGCAGAGCTTAGCGCACAGCAGGCTGTGGGACGCCGTCATTGGCTTCCTCCACGTCTTTGCTCACATGATGATGAAGTTGGCCCAGGTAAAGAAGAAAACAAAAAGAAGAAGAAAGTCTTTGCCCAAAGTCTGGGAGATAATGTGGCGGGGACTATCATGGGGGTCGTTCGTCAGGAGCGCACAGGAGCACGGGTGTAGCAGCAAGTGGGGGAAACAAGCCCCAGGCCCCAGCTGCATTCAAACCTGCCAACTAAAAACTCCCCGTCTTTCGTGGGCAGCTTTTCCCGCAGCATTAGACCCCCAAAGTTCCGGGTTTCAGTTACGAACCAGTTAGCGAAAAGTTTGACTCACAAAGAGCTTTTCCCGCAGCATTAGACCCCAAAGTTCCAGGTTTCGGTTACGAACCAGTTAGCGAAAAGTTTGACTCACAAAGAGCTTTTCCCGCAGCATTAGACCCCAAAGTTCCGGGTTTCGGTTACGAACCAGTTAGCGAAAAGTTTGACTCGCAAAGACTTTGTAACCAAAAGAGATTAACTTTGGGCACTCCGATCTCTGGCCGCAAAATAGCCAGATCTCTGGGTTTTGATGCCAAAGTCCAGGCCACTAGCTATATTTGCCAATCGGTGAACCGAGCAGCCAACGTTTCATACTCCCTTTGCCAAACCAAGAGTCACCTCAGGAACCCAGCATTAAGGCTAACTTTGGGGTCATTCTGTAGCCTGGCTCGTCTGTTCGGAAGCCAGACTGTAACCATGGGGCTGTTTTGGGATGTGTTCTGCCCAACGCAAGAAACCAAATTGCTCCATAGTACAGTACCCTTTTATCATTTTCCCCCTTACTTTTCAAACAAGCCACTAAATATCCCAGATGGCCACTGGCTGCACCACATTCATCTTTGCCAGTTCTATGTTCAGGTGTGGGTACCTACTGGGCTTAATAGCTGAGACCCCTTCTTGTGGTTGGGGGGGGGGGAAGCAGCATGAACGTGACAGCAATGGGGTGAGATCTGGGGTGGGGTGGGAAGGAGGTTGCATATGGCACAGTTTTCCTTTTAATCTCTGCACTAACCCCAGGCTCGCCTGCTGTGTGCCTCTCCTACCCGTTCCCAATCTCAGCAACAGCTTTGGGCGTCCCTTTTGAAAAGAACCATTTTTGTATTCCACCATCTGGCCGTCCTTTATACCACCTTCACATCCCACAAGAAGACACGCACATCCCTGCCCTATGCTGGGCACTTTCCCGTCCGTATTGGAACCCGTCTAGAAATTTAGAGAGAGTTCTTGGAACTTCTCTTGGGGCTTTCCCACACTCTTCTTTGCATCACTAATATGCCCGTATTGCTTCATGGTCTTTTTTCTTTTCTGCAAGTGGTCACCCTCTAGTGGTCACTTCGATATTACATCGCTATATCTCCGCAGTATTTCCCTGCACATTTAAAGTGGAGGGAAATACGCCAGAGATACAGCAATGTAATATCGAAGTGACCACTAGAGGGAGCAAAGCATGTGCAGAAAAGGGGCGGGAACCCTGAAGCAACACAGGCACACACGTGATGAAAAGAACAGTGCAGAAAAGCCCGTGGAGCTGTCAAACCCTCGTTCTGCAGTTAGGGCTTGCACCCTGACATCAGATTGACTCCCAACCAACAAGGCTACCTGTTGGTGTTGTCTGAGTTGCATAAAGAGAAGGACCCAAATCATGCATGCATTAAAGGGCATAGGAAGGTTAAAATATGACTGTATGTGTGTGTGGAACCAGAGCGCCCAAAGAGTGGAGGATCGATTCCTGATTTTGTGGGAGAGCACAGGCAATGGAGACTGGTCCAGTCCCGCCATGTCTCTGATTTCGGGGCAGAGGCCTTTCTGTGGCCTCAGCAGGAGAGCGAAGCATAGGCCATTTGCGGTTTTGAACACCTTCCTCTTCCCTAGAACAACAACAGAATTCCATGGATTGTGGACCCGGGAGTGAGGGCTTCCCATTTGATCTGCACACTCACTTATCTAGCAGGCTTTTGAGCTCTCTCACCATCTTCAAGCAGAGGCTAGATACTCTTCTGTCTCGATTTTTGGACTTCCTGCATCGAGCAGGGGGTTGGACTGTGTGGCCTCTAAGGCCCCTTTCCAGCCCCAGGACTCAGGGAAGGAGTGAAATCTAGTGGTTAGAGCATGGAGAAGTGGGGAGGGAGCAGAGAGCCAGCCTTCTGGTTTCTCTGCCCTCCCCAACCATCAGTTCTCCCACTGGGAAAGCCACGATGGTAAAGAGGAATGTAATGCGTCCTCCCCACACCTACCCCCAAACACACCCGCAACCTGTTCCCTCCAAACAGGGAAGGCAGCTAGTCCCAGCGATAAAGGAACGTGCCGGATGGTACACCTGGCAAAATACAAAAATGTTCTTGAAAATGTTTCTGAATAACATTTTTATTCTGATGTGTGACAGATGACCCAACCCCCAGGACTTCGAAACGGCGTAAGAACCTTTTACGTAGCACGCGGCCATCTCATGCCCAGCGCATAGTGTCCACCCTCTTTCTCTTTCTTTTCCTTCCTTCCCTCTGCTTTTCTTACCCAGCGCCTCCTTACCCTGTCTTTCTTTTCGTCCAGCCAGACCAAGACCGATTTTCACACAAGAGCTGCGCCGCGGTCACATCTCCCTTTGCCCCGCTTCTATCGGTCAATTGCCCACTCGAAGCCACGCGGCCGCATGTTGACCCGGGGCTTTGCCCAATCTTTCCCCGCGGTTTTGTGATCCTCAAAAAACAGGATCACGAAACCGCGGGGGAAATCAGGCGAAGCCGTGGGTCAAAATGCAGCCATGCGGCTTCAAGTGGGCAATTGACCGATAGAAGCAGGGCAAAGGGAGGCGCGACCGCGACGCAGCTCTTGTGTGAAATCGGTCCAAGTTAAACCACACTTGCACAGACATGTCCCATTCATGTTTCTGTCCCAATTTTAAACTGGTTTCGCAGGCTTAAAGCAATACCTGGGGGAGGCCAAAGCAAGAAACATGTGCATTCGGGGACGGGACACCTGTCACTGGTATGTCTTCTATTTGGTTGTCTGAAGGTGAAGTGGGTCAAGGCCAGGCTGGGCAAAAACTCAGTCTCTGCAGGGTCGAAGAAGGCAAGCCAGGGTAAGCCGTCTGAGACAGCAAAATAAAAACCTTCTTAGCTCCCTGTAGCGCCTGACTTCTGCAGAGCGGGTAGCTGCAATTCCACCCCCGGGCCACTGGTGGCAGTAGCAGGCAGATGAGTAGCTCCCTCCACGGCCAAGTTGTTGCTTGGGCAAAGAGAGAGAGAGTGACTGGTCCTAGAGTTCCTGCTTTGGGACCCCCTGTCTCCTAACAGTGTTGTCCTCCCTGTGACAAGTAAAACACAGTCATGAGCAATGTTCCCTTTAAGCTGTGGAGTCTTGTGAGCAAAAATTCTACTTTGTGAACTGCCGGCATTAAAGTTGCGAGTGAGCGACTTGGCTCCTGCATCAATCAGTTTGCTCTGGAGCCCTCCTTCCCGAGCAAAGACAACAATGTGTGAGCCGGAGGCTAAGAAACTGTGAGCTAGCTCACACTAACTCAGCTTAGAGGGAACAGTGGTCATGAGTAGCCCCACAAGTCTCAGAGCACAACTAGATTAAAACAAGAGGGGACCCACAACAAAATGTTTAACCTTTTAAATGCCAGGGCGGTGATACCAGCTGCGGTGGTCTCTGAGGCACAGGGCCGCTTTGAGCATTTTACTGCTGTGCCCAGTAATTCCCACCCCCTGCCGTCTGCGGGAGATGCTCTGTGATGCCCCCTTAATGTCTTCCATATCCCTTGGCCTTATAGATTCTTGCTTATGGATGCCACATTATAGTACACTGATTACTATCTGAACATAATGTCTTTCAGTGGTCAGGGATACCCTACCCTTGATGGGCCACGCTGACCCACTCTAGGAAGCTAAGCAGGGTCAGCCCTATTTAGTATTTGGATGGGAGATCCCCAAGGAACTCTGCAGTCTCCACGGAGATGCAGACAATGGCAAAACACCTCTGACCACAACACATTATGCAACATTTTGTTGTGGTCCCCTGTTGTACTTTTTTAAACATGTAGGTTTTCCCCGATTTCTGGGGCTCCAGCCCGCCACCAGCCAGCTGGTCGGCGGGGGAAGCCCCACCCCCAAACAGACACATCGCTCTGTGATGTCCCTGTCTTGATGATGTCACCCGGAAGTGACGTCATCATATCAGGGCCATTGGGGGTGCCACTCTAAGGGTTTTTTTTTTTTGCAAACTCTATGGTTTTTAAGGGGGTGAAACCATAGAGTTCTGCCCAGAAACTAGAGCGGCACCCCTGGTCCCGAAGTGATGACACCCAGGTGACGTCATCACAGCAGCAGAAGATCCCGGAGGAGAGGAAGGATCCCCCCACCGGCAGCCAGGTGGGACACGGCAAGCCTAATCCCTCGGTGCAGGGACACGTTTGTGGTTGGTCTGGCCCGATTTCCTCTCTAGGCCTGCAGCGGCTGGCGCTTGCGCATCACCCTGGCCCCCCCCTCTCTTTTCTGTCTTCCCGGCTTCTCCCTGCCCCTCCCTACTGCCTTCACGAAGGGGGTTGGCGAAGGGCCCTGCTTGGTCATCGCTTTGGCTTGCTGGCTCACGCCCCATCCCAGCGCTTTTCGTTCCACCGCCGAGCTTTGGGGGAGGGAATCAACAAAGGCACATCTGGGGGGTGACCGCGGCTGGCAGCCCAGCTGCTTGGGAGCGACAGCTGGTGTGATGCCTGGCCGATGAGCTTGAGTTGGATCCCGCAGATCCGTTCCTCCGGCGGAAGGAGCCTTCCTCTGGCTCAAGACTCTCGGAGCATTCCGCATCCGGGGGAGGCCCCTTCCGCCGGAGGAAAGTGCCTCTGCCGGCAGAACAGGCTCGTGGGATCCAGCCCGAGGGTCCCCAACCTTTTCTGAGCCTGCGGGCACCTCTGGAATTCTGACACCGCACTGTGGGCGTGGCCAAAAAATGGCTGCCGGCAGAGGCGGAGCCATCCACAAAATGGCTGCCGGGAGGGCTTACCTCCCGGCACACAGTGAAAATTCTTGTGCCGTGGGGGCAGCTGCCGCCAAAACAACATTTTAAAAAATCTGCACAGCCAATCAAATCTCCAGAGGACTTGCTGGGCAAAAAGCCCTCCCCGGGCCCGACCGCTTTCTAAAAACCCTCGGGCGCCAAGAAAGGTGCCCGTGGTTGGGGACCCCTCATCCGGCCATTGCCTCTGAACCAGACCCAGTATTGCCGCTACTTGCGATATGCTTTGGGGTAGCCATGGGCGTTTCTGCATTCCCGACTTAGAGAGTGAGCCGTTCCCTCTTCCCGTGAAGCCTTGGGAAACAGACTTCCACGAGGGCGGGAATATTCCACAGAGAGTCCTCCGTACCTTCTCCAGCCACCTCTTCCCAGGATTCTCGGCGGGATGGGTGTGACCAAACGAAGGAGAAGAAGCCGCTACAAGTTCGTAGCCTAGACAACGATTGGCGTGTTCTCTGCTGGAGGGGGTCGCTGGAGAAGGCGTGCGCCAATCCCAGAATCCTCTTCTCAGTATGACAGTGCCGGAACAGGGCTGGGGAACGAAAGCGGGGAGGGAGGAGGCACCCCGGGGGGGAAATCTCCCCTCCCCTCACCAAAATTATCTCTCTGTTGCGCTGCCCACGAGGACCAATTTCGGAGCGAATCCTACCCTGAGGTAAGAGGGGAATTGCCGCTTCTCCGGAGGGAGAAACGTGCCCCCCCCCATTTATGTGCACGTTTCACGGCCCTCGGGGCGGTCCTTCCGTGGCACCACGCTCCTGTCAAGGAGGGTGAGAGGCTAGAGAAAGAGGAGGTGGAGGCCATCCGAACAGGTTGGCAGCACGAGCTAAGTTTGTCCTTCACGCAGGGCAGGGCTACGGGCCGCACCTGGTAGCCGTCCGAGTCGGACACCCCTAACTTTGATTTACGATACCAAAGCTCTGGCCAAGTGTTGTGATAACTCCTGGGCATAGGGCCCTGGCTTGGGGGGGGGGGTTCTCACGAGGAAGCACTGGCAGGGGCGTGGTGGTCACGGCCCGGTCACGGCCTCTTGGGAGTTAACAGCACCGTACCTCCGTCCCCACACCTACGCATGGCCCGGTTTCTGCAAGGAGCTGGCTGGGGTGGGCGCGCGTGTCGACAAAGGGAGTTACAATACGGGGGGACGGGGACGAAAGGGAGATGCGTTGGGTCCACCTTTGGGGGGATGGTGCGGAAGGAGGGGGAGGTGCCTGTCTTGTTTCTGTGGTGCTCAGCGCCTCGTGGTCTCCTTCCCCATTCCAGGATTCGAGTCAAATCGGGCTTCTGAAGGAGCTGCTGGATCTTCAGAAGGACATGGTGGTGATGCTGCTCTCTCTGCTAGAAGGTATGGGTCTTCTGCCACTCCCCCCCCCCCCCCG